ATTTGTTTGCTCTAATTTGTAGTTTGTCACTTGATTACAAATCTTTGCATTTAGCTATTTTATTGGATTGAAGGTTAAGTGAACAATTTAGCTTAGAAATCGACATCTTAACCTAATACAGGTTTTTTAAGTTCCTTGTCAAGTCATCAACTATTTCAAAACCCATTTTGAATTCTAGGAATGCATCATGTTTGGTGTTTTTTTATGCACATAGGCAAGCTGAACTCTCTTCTATCCCTTCCATACAAGCAAGTTTCTTTCTTGTGAGATAAATAGGACACACTATGCACACCATTGATGTTTGATATGTTAAGAAGGGCAATTATGTGAATAAATTAAATGTGATTAGAATTTGATTTAGTTTTCATTTATTTATAATGTAAACTAGAAGTTTCTTAAACGAAGGAAAATGTCAAGATCTCTTTTATTGGATTTGGTTGCTTAGAACTAGTAAGAACCGGTGTGTGGTGGCTAGGGGCCTAGGTGCTTGTTTGGGAGGACTGAAGCACAATGACTTCTAGCTTTGCAAGGTGGGCTCCAATCAAACAACCTATAAGCTATGATTTGCTAAAAATTTTGGAGAGCATAAATGGGGCCTAAGTGCCTGTTTGGGAGGATTGAAGCATAAGGACTTCTAGCTTTGCAAGGTGGTCTCCAATCAAACAACCTATAAGCTATGCTTTGCTAAAAATTCTGGAGAGAATAAATTGAATATCAATCAATCATATGAAGGGCTGTCTATTCAGCCTCTTTGAATTGCTTATCCAGGATGCTTAAAGGCAGCTGAACTAACTTTTTATGAGGCTCACTTTACAAAGCGAGAAGCATCTGCTCTTCAGCCTAGAGGTTGAGTTGGTTCAATTGCTTTAAAGTGCTTCAAGTAAGCTATTTAAAGACCCCTTCAAATGATTGAATGCTAGTGATTTGAGTTCTCTGGATTTTTTCACCAAAACACAACTTTCATGCTTTTCATGTGGGGCCTACTTCGAAAACCTAGAAGTCACTACATTTCAATTAGAAGTGCTCATTAAAAAACAAAAACCTAACCAAACCAATGAAACCGAATGAAAAATCTAGTTAATTGAATTGTCAATTCAGTTTTGGCTAAGCAATATGAAAAATTGGCAATTAATTGAAAAAATCAAACTGACCAACTGATTTGTTTCAGTTCGTGGTTTTTCAAAAGACAAAGGACCGATTCGGTTTAAAAAAATGCCCACGGTTCGGTTAACCAAACCATGAACACCTCTAAGTTCAGCTCTCTCCAACAAGCATTTCGTTGAATCTTCAGCTCACCCCTCACAAATGGGCCTGAGAAAAGACACGAAAAGGGAAGAGTCAACAGATAACAAAAGGTGTTAAAATGAATAAAAAATGTAAGAAATTATCCCTCCTGTCGAATGGGACCAATTTCCAATCTTGGCTTGGTTTTAACATTTGGTTTGCTTGGGTCTTCTTCAATTAAATAGGCCAATAGGAGATGTATCACAATTCATATATTAGGATTTGGGTCCCAACCAAGATGATCAAATGGCGATGGGATCTGCTGTGAATAGGGGTGGAAATGAATTAAGCTTTTCATGAGCTATTTGAGCTTTTCTCGTAAAAGCTTGTTTCATCTTGGTTTAGACCAAGCCTCAAGCCTAGCTCGAGCCCAATACATAGGCTCATTTGCTAATCAAGCCGAGTTAGAGCCCAATGAAGCTTGGCTCATGAGGCTCGCAAGCCTAATCAAGCCTAATACATATATAATAAATAATTTTTATAATTCCCAGTTTTTTGTATATAAAATAAAAAAATAAACTTTATACGTATAACATTTACTTTTTATAAGAAGCTTGGATCATAGTTGAATTTGAACTTGCAAGCTTTTGAGCTGAGCCGAATTCGAGTTCAGGTCTCTAGCTCGAAACGAACTCGAGCCTAACATTGTTTCAATGACCCGAGCTTGAATAGCTAGGTATTTGCCTTAGGGATTACCTCAACTTGAATCCACCCCTAGTTTTGAAAACTAGCCAGCAAGCTATATAACCAATCACGATTAAATACATTAGTATTATGCTTTGTGTATGTGTTTGTAGTAGATCTTAAAGGCTTGGCCATTGTCTGATTTTAGGTAATGTACCTAAGGAGTATCAGAGCCAACATGTTTGTCAAATTCATTTCTCACACTACTCAGTGTGCCCTCACAGCCCCCTTGCAGCTGGGCATTGAGAGTATCTCCTAATAAAAACATACAAATACAAATATATTCTCAATACACGGTTGCAAAAGCTGTAAGGGCAGTGTGAGGACAGTTTTTGTGATGATTAAATCCAAATTTGGGATGTTCGTCAGACCTGAGTTCAGATCTAATTGAACCGAATTTGGATCTGCTCCTCATAGAGTGCACCTCACACAGACCTCACAACCCCATCCCATTGGGAACATCTCCCATCCTGTGTTGTTATTTATGAGGAGATATTCCCAATACATGGTGGGATGGGGCTGTGAGGTCCACGTAATGTGCATTTTGTGATGAGTAGATCTTGATTCCCATTACACGGTTCTAGATCTCTTGATAGAGTGCTCCACACATCGACTTCATAGAATCTTCCAACCCCACATCGGAGCATCTTTCATATTAATATATTATTAGTCATGGAGATATTTCCAATACACGATGGAATGGGGCTGTGAGGTTGATGTGAGAAGTGCTCCGTGAGGAGCAAATCCCAATTCCAACGATCATCTCTCTAATACACACGACTATTATAGCCGTACGCCAGGATCATCTCTCCAAGAGTTCACATCAGCCCCCNTCCAAGGGGGCACCCCACAACGTCCCACAACACATCCCAACCATGTATTGGGAACATCTCCTGATGTTGTCTCATCATTTCTTGTACTATCACCGAGAGATGTTCCCAATACACGGTTGGGATGTGTTGTAGGGCACCCCCTTGGCTATGTTGGGATTAGATTTGAAGATCATCACGCATTGATTTTTGTGGATCCCTACTAGATAGACCTGTTCATGGGCCAGGCCGGGCTTTGCCTTTTTATCAATAGAAAATTATTAGGCCCGAGCCCAACCATCGGGCCTAGATCTTGAGCTTGAGCCCGACCCTATATAAAGCCCGAAGCTCAGGCCTAAGCTTGAAGCCTGACTTTGATAGGTATATTATAACACATTAATTATATATTATATAATATTTTATACATTTAATATATGTAATACTTTTTTTGCTATTAATTTTATTATTATATAATATATTATTTATTATTAACATATATATATATATTATATTTTTGTTATATATTTAATATTATCAAGTTGGGCTTATTTGGGAAAGCTTGAGTCCGAGCCCGCAGGCTTAGAATTCTGTCCAAGCTCGATTTAAGATGGGTTGGGCCGGGCTTTGCCTCTTTATCAACAAAAAATGTCCAAGTTCAAGTTCGAGCTCGGCCCAACCTTCGGGCCTGGATCTTGAGCTTGAGCCCAGCCCTTATATAAGGCCCAAAGCCTAAGCCCAAAGCCCGATCTACATATAAAATGTCCTATTTTTTGTGTAATTTAATAAACTAATATTATATTAACTTGATAATAATTTATAAATAAATATATATTATATATTTATTATATAAATAATGTATATTTCTATTATATGTAATAGTATTGGGCCGGGCCCGGGATGGGCTTATTTGAGAAAGCCCAAGCCCGAGCCCGTGGGCTTGAAAGTTTGTCCAAGCCTGAAAAATATTGGGCCGGGCCGGGCTAGAGCGTCGGGCTACCCGGCCCATGAACAAGTATACTCCCTACCAATTTTTCTCCCACTTCCAGTTTCCAAGTCAAGTCCACCTGAACCTGAGTCTCTCACCGTGTGGGAAGGTAATCGTGTGCCTATACCCCCCGATACTGGAGTGGAAATAGAAAAGGGAAAAGAAATTGTGAGAGTGGATCTCTCACATCTGTCTTGACCAGCAGTGAGTAATCGGAGAGTTTCAGGAACAAGTGAAGAACGGGAACAAATCCCATTTTGGATTGCGGAGGTCTGCGTTCTTTTTTATTTGTATTTTGACAGCAACAGGGAAGCTTCGGTTTTTAGAGGAAGCTTTTGATCCGAAATGGCGAGAAATTGTTTCGATATTCGAGTCCTCCTCTTAGCTGCAGCTGTTGCATTTATTTATATCCAGGTTTTTTTCCTAATTTTGTTCATTTTTTTGTCTTTTGATTTTCTTTTTGAAATTCCTGAGTCGCTGTCCATATTTCTTGTTTTTAACCCGCTGATTTGTTGTGCTGCCGCGCAATTGTTAATTTCGATTCATTTTGTTCGTGTGGATTAAACTCGTTTCGTTTACTTGATCAATTTTTACATTTTCCACCATATTCTTGCAATTGTCTGTCCTGAATTTTATTATTTATTTATTTATTTATTCATTTCTTTTGAAGCTTGTGGAAAATTGAAGCACTGAATTATGGATGTTCGAGTCCGCAATTGAATTGGTCCCGTATGCTTGAGCAATGCGACGTTTTTATTCTGTTTAGTTTTATAGGTTTTGTTTGATTCCCCGTAAAATGGATGAAAATTTTCTCAGACTGAAATATTTCAACTAAAATTTTATCCAACGTTGGATAAAATTTTGTTTTCTATATCGTTAACAATAAAACAAGTTGAAAAGGGCGGAAAACAAACTTTTCACTCCAAAAAAGGTGTAAGAGTTTGACATGAGTTAGAGTCTGTATGACTGTATGTGCAACTTGGTAGTTCAGGTTCTTTGTAAAAGAGTCCATGCAATACAAATTTGTTATACATGGTCATTTTCTTATTCTTCATGACTTCATCATAGCCTTACATGGACATCAAACATTTTCTCATTCATCTCTTGCTTCATATAAGCTATTCCACGATGCTTGTACAGCCAATACAACTCGGGGATATTGGGTTTCTATTCTTCTTTCTTGGTTTGCGCATTGATGTTTTTCTTTTCTTTTCTTTTCTTTTTCCCTTTCTCCTTAGATGCGGATTTTTGCCACACAATCAGAGTATGCTGAACGCCTTGCAGCTGCGGTATGCTTTGGCTTTCCTGGTCCCATGCAAACTTAAATTTAGTTATTATGGTAGAAGTTTGTCTTTTTTTTTTATTATAACTGTTTTATGGTTGTATAGAACAATTCCAAAGGATTATTGAAGACATTTTTGTGAACCTAGGTGCTACAATAGGAATTTTGTAATGCTAATTAAAATATCTTTATGAAGATGAATAGAACAATGTAAACCATAACTTCATTTACTATAAGTATGAGGTCTGAAAAAACATTTTTGTCTCTTTTAGGTGTTTATTGGGTTTTCATGGTGGCATGATGGAGTTGATTTGCTGGCTATGTTAATATGAAGACTTCACAATGGGTGTCTTTACCTGTTATGGGCACTCAGACTTTAATATTGACACAACACTTGAGTGGACTCATCTCTTTGTCAAATTCAAATTACCTGACTAAAAACCTTGAATTCTTAGGATAAGATGTAGGTATGATATCAGCTCTAATTGGTTATACTGGACTAGATTCGATCTTCCTTCTGGAACTTGTCTTAGGATAAGATGACAAAATGGGTTTACCCTACTTTTTTATTTGAAAGATAAATAAAAAAGAAAATTCATTAAATAGAATAAACAGAATACATCAACAGGTGATGAGAAATCACCCAAAAAACAACAACAACAAACTAACCAAACATCCAAGCCACCTTACAATTGCCCAAAGAATTATGTCCGACAGAGAAACAAAATTAAAACCCACTTCTGCCCAATCCATCAATACCTAACCCAAAAGTCCCACTGCTCATCTCAATTGCAAGATACAATCCTACTTCTTTCTCATAATTTTCAGCCTTCAAGTTCACTACCCTTATCTTGTCCTCCCATCTCCAAGTTCACGAAAGCTTTTCTTGCAAATTCTTCCCCATCCCAGAATAAGAGGCCCATTACTTGGACTTCAACATCTGCCATTTCTTCCAGCTCAATTTTCTTCTTAACTTCTCTTATCTGATCTGTAATCTTCTCGTCATCACTCTCCTTCAACTCCAACTCTACTTATGATGGTCTAATGTCTTTAGTTCTCTTTTTACCTTCTTTTTTTAGTACTCCTCGGACTGGTTTCCTTTGTAATGCCTATGAGCCGAGGATTACCTTGTATAGCTTTTCAAAGGGGTAAGGTTTCTCTGTCCACCATCATAGGCTTTGTTTTTCTTGATTATTAATAAAATCCCATGGTGGCCATCCCTCCACCAAGAGAATATTTGGAGTTAAAAAATTATAATACTTGATAGTATAGAATAACAACAATGGATTAATTTAATTGTGTAATGTTGTTTGCATTGATTTATGTTTGGCATTTAATTTGCTTTCTTTTGAACAATTATTCCAATAGCTATTGAATATTTTACATGTATCCATGTAAAATAGTTACTGGGTAGAAGATTCATAAAATAAATAGTTACTAGGTAGAAGGTGACTCCTATGTCTGTCAGTGCAATATTAATTCCATATTTGGTTTTTGCCATTTCTTGAAAAGGGAAAGGCAAATTTTGTGGGGCAAGTGTTGATAAGTGCTAGAGAGTAGGAAAGAAGCTTCTTATGCTCAACAATATCGATGAGTCAAAGGAGAGAGACTTTTGTAAGGAATTAGACATGCTTCGTTGCATCATTATTGGGGAAGACAAAGCAGGGGAATGGACTTGAAGACAGTACATGATTGCCAATGCATCCAAATGCAATGAAACACAATGGACCTCAATAGAATGATCTCCAGATGCACCTTATTATGCTAGGCTATCTGCTAGGGAGTCAGAGGGTATAAGAATCCATCATTCATTTTGGATTCCAAAAATCTAACCTTTTACTGAAGTGGTACAGATACCATGTCCATCTGAAAGAGATTGCGTCCATCCAGTAACAACTTGAAAACTACTTCTTTCTCCCCTTTTAAATATATAATTCTTGTATTCGTCATGAAAAATATTCTATATTTTCTTCAATATTTACAGTTCCTTGCAGACCCATGCTTAGAATTCATTGGATTTTAACAGGTAGAATCTGAGAACCGTTGTACAAGTGAAATGCGGTTGTTGATTGACCAAATAAGCATGCAACAAGGAAAAATTGTGGCCCTTGAAGGTGTTGCCTTTACTGTAGTTTCTAATTAGATCTTTATTATTCATGTGTTATAGTTGACTAACTTTACTTCTGGTGTTTCCAAGCTAAAAATGATCCTGTTTACATTATTTTGTTTAAATCATGCAATACATGGTTTTATTATCTGTATTCTGTACCAGTGCATGATTATGGATAAATATGGTATTTGCTCTAGGAAAAATTAAAATGCTCCTCTATCTCCTTACTAGAAAAAGATAATATTAATTAATTATTTGGTCTTCTTAAACTAATATGTTGTTGCAATTTCAGATGAAAGGAAGCGACAAGATGAAGAGTGTAGGCAATTGAGGGCCCTTGTTCAAGATCTTGAAAGTGTGTTCCTATCCATATATGCCAATTGCCACCTTCTTAAGGATTTATTTCTTTCAATTTTATGTAAATGTGTAAAAGCATATTTTGAGACCATACTATCTAATGAAGTTTCTTATCTATGTTTTGTTGCAGTCTTTATAGTTTGACATGCTCTACATACTATCTAATGAAGTTTCTTATCTAGGTTTATACCCAGTCCACCCTTCCAAGGCCCTAGATAGCTGGGACCAACATTGGGTAATGGCCCTTGATAAATAAATAAAAAGGTCTTTTTTTTTTTTTTTGATAAGAGGTAAGGTATCAATTCATTAAAATGGAAAAATAAAGGACCCATGTACAACTAGAGGCTGTACAATGGGGAAGTACAAAAGCCAATTAGACCAATATCCCATTTGAAATTACAAAAAGATTTTCAAACTCAAAGAGGGAACTAAAGAAAGAACTGTCAATGGCTAGCTGGGCTGATGACCAAGAAAGCGGCTTCCCCACTATTTTTTGCCACACTTCCTTCTCTTGACAGCCTTTGTTTTGGAATAACCTTGAGTTTCTTTCCTGCCATATCAACCAGAAGACTGCTCCTGGAATTAAAAACCATATTTACTCAAACCTTGTATCCACCACCCTTTCACAAAAGCATCCACTGAGGCTGGACAGCAACTTCTGATAGCAAAGATCCTGAAGATTTTCACCCAAATTGTAGGTGAAACTGCAATGCAGTGACAAGTGGTTATCTGATTCTTCTTCCCTGTTACATAACATAGAGACACACCTAGGTGACTCAATCACCATTCCCCTCCTAATCAAGTTGTCTTTTGTAAGAATCTTGTTCAGGTAGGCAGACCAAACAAAAAAAGCCTCCTTTGAAGGGATGTGCTTGCTCCATATTACATGCATGGGAAACTCCTGCTCTTCCTCTTGAGCCAGTTTATTATAAAATGATTTTACCGTGAACTGGCCCTTGCTATCTGCTGACCACACCCTTCTATCTTCTGCATTAAGATCATTTTGCATGCTGTGCAGCTTCTGGAGTAGCCTTCCAAATGATTCAATCTCCCAATCATTCAATGCCCTTCTGAACTGTGGGTTCCAAACATATTCCCCATTTTGAAACTGCACACAATCAGCCACTTTTTTCTCCTTATTCGCAGAAACTGCAAATAATTCTGGAAAATCATCCTTTAACTTATTGTTTCCACACCAGCAATCCGTCTAGAATCTGACTCTCGTTCCTCTCCCCACTTCAAATTTGATTTCCTTGCTAAAAAAATTGTACCTTTTTTTTTATTCCTTTCCAAACCGAACAACCAAACGACTGGTTTGCTTCTCCTGGATCCCACTCCTCATTTCTTGTGCCATATTTTGCTTCAATTACTTTTTTTTGACAAACAGCTCCCTTGCTGCCCAAACCTCCAGAACCACTTGCCAAGCAGTGCTAAGTTCATTTCTCGAATTGTTCTTACACCCAGTCCATTCTTATTTTGTTTACACACTTTTCCCAATTTACTAAATAAACTTCTTTAACCTCCTTCCTTCTCTTCCATAAGAACTCTCTCATTTTTCTCTCAATTTGAGAAGTCATCCCTGTTGGAATTGGGTAAAGTGATAGTAAATAAACAGGAAGAAAAGATAGAACATTTTTTTTTTTTTGATAGGAAGAGAAGATAGAACATGTTTTTATTTTTGATAGGAAGAGAAGATAGAACACTCTTTATTAACATGAGTTTACCCCCTTCGAAAGATGCCTTGCTTTCCAACCAACCAGCCAGCCTTTTCTCAATTCTCTCCACAATTGGTTCCCAAATAGCCATAGCGTTGCATTTGGCTCCTAGAGGCATTCCCAGACATCTTAAAGGAAATTTACCCACTTTAAAACCGCAGAAATCAGCTCAAAGCTGCAATTTTTGCACCTCACCTTCTGCTACCAACTCACTTTTGTGCGCATTCAGATGCAAACCAGAGGCTACTTCGAACCACCAAAGTATTGCCATCAAATAATCAAGCTGCTCCCGTGAAGCATTGGAGAAAAATACTGAGTCATCTGCAAACTGTAATAGAGGAATTTCCAGTCTATTTTCTCCCACCGTGAAACCCTCCTAAAAAACCACCCGACACTGCTTTCAAAGTTAATTTCCCCAAGACTTCCATCACACACAAAAATAGCAGAGGAGACAAGGGATCACCTTTCCTTAAGCCCCTTGAACACCTGAAATGACTGCAAGCCCTACCATTCACCAAAACTGAAAAAGTTGTAATGCACACCTTCATCCAATTCCTCCACCTGGAACTAAAATTCATTCTCCGTAATATGTGGTCTAGAAAATCCCAATTTACATGATCATAGGCTTTTTCAAGATCCATCTTGCATAACAAACCAGCTCTTCCACTCCTAACCCTATAATCTATCAGTTTATTATCTATTAAAACCCCATGTGCTAGTTGTCTTCCCTCAACAAAAGCTCATAGGAACTCCAAAGTTACATAACCCGTGACTGGTTTCATTCTTTTGGCTAGCACTTCAGATAATATTTTATGAAAACTACCAATAAGACTAATTGGTCTGAAATCCTTTAGTTCCTCAGCCCCTTTCTTCTTTGGGATTAGACAAATAAAAGTGGAATTTAGACATCTTTCTAAAGCATCAGAAGCATGAAACTTTGATAAGACTGCCATTAAATCCAAGGTTCAAAATTTCGATATGTATCAGGCCGTATCGGCCAATACGTATCGTATCATGGGCTTCCTGATATGCCCCTGCAGGGGGTGTTTTGGGGTCTAACCCAGTTCGGGGGGTAGATGGGTGATAGGAATCAATCAGAACCCTTGAAGACTTATTCTAGAAAGAAGAAGGCCTTACAACAGGTGCTGATATGGCATAGTGATGGTACTTGGGATTTGGACCGAATTGAGTACCAAGGGTATTTTTGTTATTTTTGCAATTTTCTGTGGGGTCCAATGATAGGGTTTAAATTGTCTAGTTATAGTTTGTTTATGTTTAAAATTTCAGAGTTATTGCATAAGTAGAATTGGAGTTATTGAGTCTTCTTTGAATTGAAATAGGATATGCCAGCTTAGTTTGAATCCTACGAGGATTATTGAGTCTAACAGTTTTACTCCTAAGACTATTATGACTTTATGAGTCTAACAGTTTGACTCCTAGGATTACTATGAGTTTAGAGTCTATAAATATGTATGGACGTTTTACACAAAGGCAATGAATTATATTGAGTTTTCTTCAGCTTATGCTAGCTATGGTGAGTGATCCCATGCCCTAGAGTGATTCTAGGCACCCTGTGAGTGATTCCATGTATTTTCTCTCTTCTTTCTCTCCCTATTTTCTTTCTTATTCCTTTAAGAAGCCATTACAACCATTAACAGCCATAAAACTCTGATCAAGAATACCATTCAACATTCTCTAAGGACTAGAACTGAGCTGGTCCTACATCAACGGGCCTTAAACCAACCCCTCTGAACCAGGCTGGAAAAAAAACTAAAAAAAGGATGTGAGCCAGGCGTATCGGACTGTACCGATATTTTGAACCTTGATTAAATCTTCTTTCAGGAAACCCCAGCACTTTTTGAAGAACTTAATAGTGAAGCTGTTTGGGCCAGGAGCTTTATCACCTTCTATTTCATTTATTGTTTCCCATACCTCCTGTTCCGTAAATACCTTCTCTAGAACCCTCACCTGTTCCTCCAACAGCCTGCTGAAATCCAGCCCATCCACCTTAGGCCTTCTCTTCCAATCTTCCTTGTAAATATTTGAAAATATGCATTATGCTGCTTCTTTATTTCTTTCTTTGTCCTCCACCTCTCCCCCCTCTATGACCAGCCTCTTTATCAAGTTTTCGCTTCTTCTAGCATTTTCCATTTTGTAAAAAAAAAAAAAAACGGTATTTTTATCGCCTTCACTTTGACCTCCGTCTCCATTTCATTTCCTCTTGAAAAGTGAGTTTGTCAAAATCTGCTTTTGGCACTCCCACCTCTTTTTATCTTCTGAAATTTGTCCATTCTATTCAGCCTTATCCATCTCCATTATAATGTCCAAGCACTCTTTCTTTCTTATCTCCACCCATTAAAAAACCAGCTTCCTCCAGACCTTTATCTTCTCCTTAAGGCATTTTAATTTCTTACTAACTATGAAACTTGCTGAACCATCAAAATGAAACTGAGACCACCAAGATTCTAAAAGACTCACAAAACCTTCCTCTTCTACCAGAGGTTCTCGAATCTAAAAGGAGATGTTTAGGTGGAATTCCATTGCTGTCCAAGAAGATTGGCCTATGATCCGAAACAATGTTTTAAAATGCAGAGACAAGGAAATAAGTAGAGAAGCCACCATAGAAACGAAAGAAGTTTAGGTTACAGGCTGTGGCATAAGGTAATAGTTAGAATTCTTGGTGGAGGAGATGGAATGAGAGGAGAGAAATTTCAGGCCGGTGGGGAAGTGGAGGTTGGAGTTGGGTATTGAAGCTAAACACTTCCTATTCGAACAGGGAGGGAGAAGAGGTAAGGCATATCTAAAAATCAGGGAAGGTAGTAGGGCTACGATACTCTTACCAGAGGAGGCTTGCTACTGGTTGAAAGGCTTTGTTGATGGAACAGTAAACACTATCAAGGAAGAAGGGTGGAAAAACTCAGTGGTTTGTTGTGGGAAGAGCTATGAAATGGTACTGAGAAGGAATGGGAGAGGATGGTTTATCATGGTAACAGAAAACTTTGGCACCAACAAAAAACAAGAATTATGCATACCGGAAGGACAGAAGGGACAAGGCTGTACTTCTTTCGCCAATAACATTAGGCCTTTCTCTTGGAAATCAAAAGGAAGGTTGTAGAAAGAAAGGATAACAAAATGTTTGAATGTGTTCCAACTAGCAGTGGTACCCCGGAGCAGAGCAAGAAGCAAAGTCCTTGTTGTCAAGAGACTATGATAGCAAGTTCAATTGGAATCCGAAAGTTAGCACTTGAAGAAGGGAGAGGCAAATGGGAACACAGAATGGTTTTAATGGCTGATAGGACTGTAAGGGATTGGACGAAAGTCTTAGATGCAGTTGCAGAAAGACTGGGTTTAGAAGGTGATGCAGTAGTATTGCCGTTTGATGAGAAGAAAGCCATCCTCGATACAGGCACTGAGAAACTGAGCTTCAATACAGTCCAAGTAGATGGAGGACTGATACAAATACAAAACTGGGTACCATTATGCAACGAAGTTGTGCCAAAGGACTGCAGTTTCCGGATCAAACTCTTAGGACTCCCCTTTAATCTCTGGAATGAACAGACCTTAGGAAGAATCGTCAGAGCCCTAGGGGGTGTTCTTTTGGAGCTTAACCTGAGAAGCTTGCGTGCTGTGGAGATCAAAGTTGCAGGGATGAAGCCTGAGAACCTGCCTCGTGCATTCGACATACTCTCAGATGGAGCTTGGTACAGGGTTTGGCTGGCTTCGGAAGTTGAGGCGTCTCTTTGGGGAAAAAGACCAGAGGTAGGGGATGATGGTGAGGTAGCAGGCTGGAGCACACGTGGCACCCAGGGAATGGTGAAGAAACCTGCTGCATGGGAAAGAGCAAAAGGGGAGAATGAACAGTTGCATGGGATTACCACTTCTCGAAGCTTACCTTTAAAAGCAATTAATTCAAAATTTTTGAGTTAAAGTCAAGATCTTTAGGTGGCCCTTCCTATGCTGACATGGCCAGAAGAGGTTGTAACTCGGCGGGTCTTAACAGATTTACCACTTCTGAACCGGCTGTAGGGGTGGCTGAACCAAACTATGGACCACTTACCATCATCAGTGGGCCACATGACGACTCAAGTCGTCACGTAGGGCAGGACAAACTTAAAGAGACAATAGACAAAAACTTCCGTCTATCTTCTTCCAGAATAGGGGCGGCCGAACTGTTCGACTCTCAGAAAACGCGAACAGTAGGAGGTAAGCGTCCCCTGAGCTGGAACCTTTGTCTGGACTGTGGCAAGCAGGCTTCCAGTGTAGCTGATCACCCAAACCTGCACTACAATAGGGGCAAAATAGAAGAAAGAGAGGAGGAAGACCAATGGTGGATAAGCTACAGCACGGAGAGTGATGAAGAGGGGAGTTTAGAAGACTGTGCAAGTTTGGATGGTTCGGTAGAGGAAGGTTTCCAGGAAGGACAAATCAAAGAGGCATTAAATCTAGAGCAGTTCTTTCTTGAAGATCCGATGGGTGTACAGAAGACAGATTTGGAGGCTTTGGTGAACATGAATAGGGTGGGCCAAAGCTCAAATTTGGACAAGCCTTTACCAAGGTTTAGCCCCATGCAAGAAGCTGATAAGGTGTTAGATCATGCTAACCCAGATCTGAACAAGGGTACATCACAGAGAGGTGGACAATCGGGTAAAGGAAAAGGTATTTGTGTAGACCAATTGACGGGGAATAGTTCCCTCCAACCCAAGGAGATAGAAAGCTCCAATTGCTCTTTACAGGGTTTGAAAACCAACCACCCTCCTTTGCCCCTTTCCCGCAACCCTTAGTTGAAACCAGGTAACTCTGACAACTCTGTCAATTCAGTTTTTGCTACTGATGAGTGTTCTGTGTCCCTTGTTCTAGATTCCCTTTCCAACCAAGAGTCAGAGGCCCATGGACAGGAAGCCACAATGAGAATACAAGGGGAGGATGGGGAGACAGTAGTGGGAATACGTTGCAGGGATAAAAGGATCTGGGGTATCATTGAGAGGATAATGGGTGAAGTGGAAAGGAATGAATTGCAAAGGGAGGGTACAAATGGGACAGAAAGAGTTACTAGTGGAGAGAATGAGATAAGGAATGAGGAGAGGGTTAGATGTGGAGAGCTTGGAAAACTAGATAAAGGGGAAAATTGTAGGGAAGATTCAGTGGCAGAATTTGTGGGAAAGCTGGGGTGTAAACTGAAGAACCCAATTGATTTAAAAGCATTTCTACAAAAAAAGGAGGATAGAAAGATTAAGAAAAGAAACCCTCGTTGTGGAAACTCGAACAACAACCAAAGAAACCCAGTAGTAGATCGAAGAAGCAGAGAGATCGAACAAGATGTCTTGGCAAACTTACATTGATGACCATCCGATGTGCGAAATCGAGGGAAATCACCTCACAGCCGCAGCGATCATCGGCCAAGACGGCAGCGTTTGGGCCCAAAGTGCCACCTTTCCTCAGTTTAAACCTGAAGAAGTAACTACCATTATGAATGACTTTAATGAAACTGGATCCCTTGCTCCAACTGGCTTACATCTCGGTGGCACAAAGTATATGGTGATCCAAGGAGAACCAGGGGCTGTTATTCGAGGCAAGAAGGGCGCCAGTGGTATTACTGTCAAGAAGACCAATTAGGCCTTGATCTTTGGTGTCTATGATGAGCCACTTACTCCCGGCTAGTGTAACATGATTGTTGAGAGGCTTGGCGATTATCTTATTGAGCAGGGTCCTTAGTTGCCTTGTGAATAATATTACATAATTTGAGGTCATGGGAAACTGTGTGGAAACAAAGGTATTTGGTTCTTGGGCGTGGTAGAAATGCTCTATTTCGTACTTATGCTTTGTCTTTGTATTCTCCCTGTTGAAGGGGTTATGATGATTTTCAAGTGAGATGCCTATTGATCTTATCTATCAAAAAAAAAAAAAAGATTAAGAAAAGAAAATTGAGTGAAGTTGAAAGATTAAAAAGAGATATTGAGGGGGATAAGAAGTTTGGGGCTAGAGGGGATAGAAGGAAAGGGCTTAAGTAGATTTTGGTTGTGATAGGGCTGCTTCTTGCAAAACTGTAATGAGAATCCTAAGTTGGAATGTGAGGGGGCTGGGTAGTGCCAGAAAGAGAGCAACAATTAAAGAGGTGATTAAGAAGTTCAATCTAGATGTTGTATTACTTCAAGAATCCAAAAGAATGGATTTTGACTGTAGATGGGCGAGAAGTGTTTGGAGAGCTAAGGGGATTAAGTGGGCGGCTGCTCCGTCGTGGGGGTTCTCAGGTGGGATTGTGACATTGTGGAAAGAAGATGTGCTTATAGGATTGGAGGAGTTGATAGGTGATCATTCTGTTTCTTTAAAGTTCAGGCAGGTGGAAGATGGTTTTGAATGGGTACTAACAAATGTTTATGGCCCCAATGACTATAGGCAGAGAAAGAAATTGTGGGAAGAGTTGAGTGATATTAGGGGCCTTTGGGAAGGACCATGGTGTGTGGGAGGGGATTTTAATGTAGTGAGATTTACAGAGGAAACCAACAACCCTAGACAGAGAGTGACAACAAGTATGAGGAACTTCAATTAGTTTGTGGATACTTTTGAGCTCGAAGAACTTCCACTGCTAAATAATACCTTCACCTGGTCCAACCTCCAATCAAGCCCAATATGCTCTAAGCTGGACAGGTTTCTTTTTTCTACAGATTGGGAGGAACATTGGGGTAACGAGGAAGGAGTGGTTTACCTAAAGCTTCTATTGGATAACTTTGTGGGGGTGACAGGTTTAAGGATAAATTGGACCAAAACAGGCATTGTAGGGATCAATCTAGAGGAAGGGGAACTTAATAGATTTGTAGAGATTTTGGGGTTTGAGATTAGAAGTTGGCCAATTAGTTACTTGGGGTTGCCTTTAGGTGGGAACCTTAGGTCAGAAGGTTTTTGGAAGCCAGTCATTGAAAGATTTGTTAGGAAGCTAGCTCTGTGGAGAAGGAATTATATCTCTTTAGGTGGAAGGATAACACTAATTAGAGCCACGCTGGCAAACCTCCCTATTTACTTCCTCTCAACCTTTAGAATACCCTGTAGAGTAGCAAGGAGGTTAGAAAAATACATGAGAGATTTCCTTTGGGACCCAGGGGAGGAGAGGAAGACTCACCTGATTAATTGGGATCATGTTAGAAAGCCCAAGGATAAAGGGGGTTTGGGAATAGGAAATATTTCACTTAGGAATTCAGCTCTATTAGGAAAATGGTTGTGGAGATTCCCGTTTGAGAGAGATAGGCTATGGCACAAAGTCATTGTGAGTATTCATGGTTTGGTTGGTAATGGTTGGGATGCAAAAGTTGCCCCTCATGTTTCCTCGTCTTCTCCTTGGAAAGCAATTTATGAAATTTACCCAGCATTCCTTAATTTCATTCAATTTGATGTGGGCCAGGGTAATAAAGTTCGTTTCTGGGAAGACCTTTGGGTGGGAGATAGTCCACTTAAAGATCTCTTCCTTGACCTATACACTCTGTCAAACTTCAAAGGGGAAACAGTAAACATTTTGGATGATCTTGGCCCAAATGGGGTCAATTGTAATCTGGGATTTAGAAGGGCCCTCAGGGAAAATGAATGTGCCTCTTTAGTTCAATTGCTGAACCTATTAGGACAAGTTCATTTGGACCCATCCTTGGAAGATTCCAGAATATGGAAAGGTTCCTCAGATGGTCTCTTCTCTTGTTCCTCCTTTTTTAGTGTTCTTGCCACACCTAACAACCTGGATGGGGACTTCCTTGTAAAATAAATTTGGAGTAAGCCTATCCCCCCCAAAAATTCAAGCCTTCTGTTGGGAAATTTTCCTTGGCAAGGTTAATACTTGTGATATGCAAAAGAAAAGAAGGCCTTTTGTTTGCCTTTCTCCTCACATGTGCTCCCTTTGTAAGGAAAGTGGTGAGACCTTGACACATCTATTATTATCTTGTTCCTTTGTGCATCACAATTGGGAATTCTTTTGCTTTCTCTTTGGCTGCAGGTGGGTTTCCCCGCAAAATGTGGCGGGACTTTTCAACCAAGGTTTTTTGAGGCAACCAAAGAAAAGAGGGAAGGTTATGTGGAAAGCTACAAAGGCAGCTATTTGTTGGGTGATTTGGGAAGAAAGGAATAACAAAATATTCCTGGACAAGAGTAGAACAATTGAGGGGGTAATTGACACAATTAAAGTTAAAGTAGCTCATTGGGTAAGACCTTTGCTAGTTTTCAAGAGTTCTCAGTCATGGCCATTATAAGATCCTGGACAGAAGTAGCACAATCTTCAAGAATGAAAGATAGAGTAAGGATGGAATGGAAAACTCTAGATGGTAACAGAATCAAACTGAATTTTGATGGAAGCTCTTTTGGAAATCCGGGACTGTCAGGTATTGGGGGAGTAATCAGAAATTCTGATAGGAGAATATTAGCATTATTCTCTGGACCTATTGGCATGGACAACTCCCTAAAAGCTTTGTTAATGGTATTGTTACAAGGAATGAAGATAGCTAAGCAACTAGGAATGAGGCATATTGAGGTTGAAGGGGACTCCAAGGTGATCATCTCTTGGGCTAAAAACAATAGAACTACTCTGTGGACTTTCAAACAAGTGACAAGGGAAGTGGAAAAGGTCGCAAGGGAGGTAGAGGCTGAATTTAAATGGGTTAGAAGGAGTGCAAATGGRCTAGCTAATTATCTTGCTAAACAAGGGGCTTTGAGGCAACAATTGTTTTGGGCTGCAATGTAAAGAGGGACAAAAAAATGTTATAGTGTGGGAGTTTGAATCCCATACACAAAGTTGTAAAATTTTAATATTTTAAATCTAATATCAAATAAAATTCTTCTTTGCTGATAAAAAAAAAAAAAAAACATTGGGGTAACTTAACATTTAGGGTGCTTCCGAGGCGAACCTCGGACCACTGGCCTATAGTGATGTGTAAGGAGGAATTGAGAGGTGATGGTCCTGTCCCGTTTAGGTTTGAAAACATGTGGTTGATCCATCTGGGATTCACTGAGAAAATCAGGGAGTGGTGGGAGCATTATAATCCGCTAGTACAATGGGAAGGAATGAGGTTCCATAAAAAGCTTCAGTTCTTAAAATCCCAAATAAAGGAGTGGAATAGGTTGGAGTTTGGGAGAGTAGAGGAAAGGAAACAGGTTTTGGTAGAGCAGATAGAAGAACTGGATATGAAGGAAGAATGGGGTCTTTTTGGAGAAGAAGACAGAGAAAGGAGATGGAGCTTAAGGAAGCAAATGGAGGATCTCTTACTTAAGGAGGAAATAAGTTGGAGGCAGAAATCTAGGTGTAAATGGTTGAAGGAGGGGGATAGAAACACCGGTTTTTTTCACTAAGTGGAAAATGGTAAAAGAAGGAAGAACTTCATCTCAAATTGGAAGTTGAAGGAGCAGTTATATCCCACCCGGTAGAAATAGCACAAGCCTTTGTAAGTCATTTCAAATCTATTTTCAGAAGACCTTTAAATGAAAGGATTTGGTTGGAGGGTTTGGATTGGCCGACTCTAAGTACAGAAAACAGAGAGTGGTTAGAAAGGAGATTTGAATTGGAGGAGATAAAGGAAGCAGTTTTTTCAATGGATAGAACAAAAGCTCCAGGTCCAGACGGGTTCACAATGGCTTTTTATCAAGATTGTTGGGGTATTGTGGAGGAAGATATCGGGTCAGTGTTTGAGGAGTTCCACAGAAGGGGAATAATTAACCTGGGCTTGAACTCCACATTCATTGCTTTGGTTCCTAAGAAGAAAGAGGCATCACAACCAAGGGACTTTAGACCTTTTAGTTTAGTGAACAATTTGTACAAAATAATTGCAAAAGTGTTGTATCTAAGGATAAAGAAGGTTCTTCCTTCCATAATTGCATCTAACCAAGGTGCTTTTGTGAAGGGAAGATAGATTACCGATCAAATCTTGATTGCAAATGAGAGTCTGGAGAGCTTTAGGAAATCCATGAAGAAGGGAGTGGTGTGTAAACTGGACTTGGAGAAGGCTTATGACATGGTTGATTGGTCTTTTTTGTTGGAGGTGTTGAAAAGTTTTGGTTTTGGAGACAGTTGGTGTAAATGGATTTGGGGCTGTATTAGAAGTTGCCACTACTCTAACTTGGTGAATGGAACTGTGGTGGATTTCTTCCCCGCCTCGAGAGGAATAAGACAAGGAGATCCACTATCCCCTTTTCTTTTCACTTTGATTGCTGATGTACTTGGGAGATTGATTCAGAGAGCGGATTCGAGGAATTTAATAAAAGGATGGAGAGTAGGAAGGGAGGAGATACCACTTACACATCTACAGTTCGCAGATTACACAATCCTATTCTGTGAAGGTGGGGACATCAATTGGATCCGAAACTTCAAATTGGCAATACAACTCTTTGAGCGGGTATCTAATCTCAAGGTGAACTTGGATAAGAGTAGTTTGGCGGGTGTGAATTTGAAGGAGAGGGAGCTTAGTGAGTATCCAGGTGTGTTAGGGTGTGCAACCTCGGACTGGCCTATGACTTACTTAGGCCTCCCCCCGGGGGATAACCCTAAGAAGGTAAGCTTTTGGAACCCGATGGTGGAGAGATTTGGGAAAAGGCTTGCTTCTTGGAGGAAAGATTATCTTTCCTTGGGGGGGAGAATCACTTTGATTAGATCAACCCTTGCTAATCTTCCTGTGTACTTCCTATCAGTGTTTAAGATCCCCACAAATGTCACACTTTGGAAAAACTTATGAGGGATTTCTTGTGGGAGCCTAGAGAGGAAAAGCGGGACCATAGGGTGAAATGGGAGGTGGTAACTAGAGGTAAAAAGCTAGGAGGTCTTGGGATTGGGGATATTAGGAAAAAGGAACATGG